TGTTGTGGAGGGCTTAGAATCCTGAGGATCAGGTATTAACTCTGGTATCATGGCCTAACTACAAATGGGAAGTTAACAGCGCTGGGCTATTTACTGGAAAAAAGTTTCCAGTTAATTGAGCCTCTTCCCCATTTGCAGGTAACTTGCAAGCAGACCAATTTTTACAAGTTTTTGTTCAATTGACACTTTAAAGGTATCTGTAGAGCATGAAGTCACATGAGGTTATTTCTACTCCCTGTCTGAAATGACAAACTAATGGAAGGGATGTGGGGAGAAATCCAAGATGGTGGCACTTGGAGCTTTTGTTCTGTCTCTGTACAGCCCCTAGCACTACAGAATCCTGGGTCATGACTGGGGCTCCTCGGTGATACGATAATACAAGCAAGAAATAATTATAATCTCTAGTGCAAACACATTTGAGGATATTCATGAGACTTAGACTTTCTTGCAAACAATCAAAGAAAGCTTAACGTGCCAATAAGGATTGTGTATACAATTAACATTACCGATCCATATTTCTGGCTGGCTTCAATGGAGCTGTGCCAGTTTACACCAGATGGGGATCTGGCCCAGTGTTTTTATTTAAAAAATGTTCACACCTTTTTGTTGTATTTGTCAAGTGCTAGTAACTTTCTGCCAGCTTAAATTCTCCCCCTGGAAGTTTCTGTTGGATACAGAATACTTTGCCTCCTGTTCTAAGTTTGATGACTGCTGCGTTCCACTCCAGAGGTAGGTGCACTTTTGGATGAAGATATTTCCGCATTATGTGGATGTTAAAAAAACATGGAGGGAATTTTGCCATGGACTTGAATGGGAGCAGGATTGGATTTTATAGGCTGGAAAATACTTTGGGATGCAAAGTGCTACCTAAAAGCAGGATCAAGAGAAGAGCTGACAAGGCATCCCAGGATATGTCTACACTGGAATAAAAGACCCGCAGCACAGCCATGGATGGCCCGGGTCAGCTGACCCTTTCTTCTCATGGGATCCCGGAGTCCAGGCTGTAACCCGAGCCCGAATGTCTTCACAGCAATTTTACAGCCCTGCAGCCTGAGCTCCGCATGCACAAGTCAGCTGACTCAGGCCAGCCACAGTTTAATTGCAGCATAAATGCACCCACAGAGGCTAAGGAATTCCTTTTCCTTATACTACTAGCACTTTTCTCGTATTAGTATTCCAGTTCTCTTCCACTATCTCCTTTGATAAGATGGGTCATTTTTAAAAGTCACAAGTAGTTGTCCCCAGGCATTGTAACCTGGCCTCATCGGTTCTGAATCAGAGAAAGATTTACTATCATATTCCTTGGAATATTAGGATATTGCTTAACGTATTACAGAGGGGTTTGGAGCATCTGGCTATCTGCAGGTCTTACACAGAGTCCAGCTGTGCAGGTCTCTCACACTGCATGCTCAGTTGCTCCCGATTGTCACTAATTAGTGCTGTATTTTCACAGTGCTAGGAGCTACATCCTTTTTAACTGGAAGTTATTAATACATGAAAATGCTCTGTAGTCTCTGCCACCATTGTGTGCTGACTGAATTGAGTTACTTCACAGGTAAGTGGCCCAGAATAGGCGATCAAACCAGTATGTGCACAACATAATGTTTATGCTGCAGTTAATGTAAATCTTCTGCATAGATTTGAATAAAGCTGTTTCCAGCAGATCTGCCTTCAGATAGCTCCTAAAGACAGACTTTATGGCTGCTTAGATACAGCAACCCTGCCACACCCAGGCTTTGTAAGGCATGATACAGTTTAAGATGATTTACTGTGTGGAGGTGGAGCAATTTTTCCATACGATGTTGAACTCCTGGAACTGACAGAACATCCTGCCTAGCATCTGCACACATCAGAAGGGAGATAAGGTTGAGGCTCAGTGGAGAGAGAGTCACAACCTAACTTAGAGATGCTATTTTACACGCTCGGAGGCAGCGATTCTTAGTTCACACAGAACCAGCATGGTCTTTCTGAGGCTTGATTGCCACAGCGCCTCAATTAGTTGGGTTTGAAACATGGCAGAACATATCAGAGGCTGTGGAAACCCTCCATTTGCCTCTTTTCTGCTCCAGCCTCTGGACTATGAACTTATACTAATGGGAGCATTCTAACCAGTGGACTGAGGACCTTCCAATGATTTGGAAGCAGCCAGAGACTTGACTTAAGCCAGTAGTTTATTCCATCACTGCTACAAGCCCGAACCAAAGAACTTTGCATTTATTGTATGGATTTGATTCCTTTAACTCTCACCTTTCTTTCTTATGAATAAACCTTTAGATGCTAAAGGATTGGCATCAGCATCATTTTTGGGTAAGATCGAAGTTCTATATTAACCTGGGTGTGTGGCTAGTCCTTTGGGATCAGGAGAACCTTTTATTTGATGAGACTGTTTGTAAAGAACCACTCACCTTTAAATCCAGTGATGGTGATATAAGAACTGGAATGCCTAAGGAAACTGCTTTTATGATTTCTTGTTAGCCAGTGTGGTGAAACAGAAGTTTACTTTTGTTGCTGACTTGGTATATCTTATGGAAGAAGAACTACCAATCTTGGGGTGTATCTGCCCTATTTCTCAGCAGTTTGTCCTGAATTTGGCATCCTCAGTTGCGACCCACTGCGGCACGGTTACACCTTGGGCAAATCTCTGTGCTGCCCTACCTCACAGGGGTGTGTGAGGATAAACACATTCAAGACTGGGAAGTGCTCGGATAGTACAGTGGTGGGAGTTATGAGTCCCTTTGATAGATAAGGCTGACACCTGCAAGGATGACCATGGTCAGAATTGTTCCTCCAGCATCACAGCGCCCTTGCACCTGCTGCAGCATCAGTTCAGGACTGATGCAGAGCCCTGCACACTGAATCACCAGCAGCACTTCCTGCAGCTCCCAGACTCTACTGGACTCAGAAATGCTCCACTAGCTCCTGGCATCAGCCAGGGCTCTGTAAGTGTCATACTCACAGCTCAGCTCAGACCTGTAGTGTCTGTTGACTATTCCTTTGTCTGAAGGAGATTCAGGGCTTGGAGTGAAGAGGGGTGGTGTATAAAGTGGTGGAGTTCGGCAAGATCCCATCGGGCCCAGCCTGGGAAACACAGGGCAGACGTGAGAGGGGTTTGCTTGCCAGTTTAAGACCTTGGTGTGCAGTTGCTGACTCAGTTTATTTCAAGGGATCAGGAAAGTCAGCGAGGACAGCATCATAGCGCAAGCTAAAAGGGAGACCATACTGGGTTCACTCAAGCAAACACAGGACTTTTTCCTTCTTAGGAAAGATCCTTTAGACCTTTATCAGGTCATTAACATTAATGCCTTATTTTCATAATTTTTCAGGCCAGAAAGGACTGACATGATCATCTAGTCTGACCTCCTGCAGAGCCCAGGCTGTAGAATTTCACCCAGTGATTCCGGTGTTGCAGTGTGATCTGTGGTTGGGCTAAAGTATCTCTGTAATAAAAACATCCAATCAGGAGTCAAAGCCTCCAAGTGACGGAGGACTCACCGCATCCCTTGGCAAGTTATGCTGATGGTTAATTACCTTCACTATTAAAAGTTTACATCTGATTTCAGCGTGAACTTTGCTGGCTTCTACTTTCAGTCACTGGATATTATTATGCCTTTCTCGGTGCGGTTAGAGAGCCCTCCGGCATCAGAAAACTCCTTCCTGCCTTGGTGCCTGTAGACAGTGATCAGGCAGGATGAAACAGGGTTTACTTTGGGGCTAATCCAGTCCTTCCATTGGCTGGGGACCCGGCTGATGGTGTGGCGTTAACTGAGGGTAGGTGAGACAGCTCAGGAAAGCAAGCAGGCACAAAGCACACACACTGCTGCTCATCTCACCATGGACTAGGCTCTGCTCTGAACCTCACTGCGCATCAGCTGGGCTGCACCAGGCACATGTCAGGTCAAAGCTTTGGCCCTAGGAGGTGTGCACTGTGCACAGAGGGGGCAGACCGATAAGGGTTTCTAGGAGTTCTCACATCACCACCCCTCTGGCTTGCTCTCCTCACAGCCTCTCCCTAGGTGGCCTGGCAGGGCAGCCCTATTTGTAACACCACAGACATTGGTGGAGTCACACCAAGGCTAGAGTTAGCCCCCAAGTGTTTGTGTTGAAGTCACTGTGTCTAAGGGCTTGTCTACACTACTGCGCGGGATCGATCTAAGATACTCAACTTCAGCTATGTGAATAGCATAGCTGAAGTTAACGTAATTAGATCTACTTACCGTGGTGTCTTCACTGCGGTAAGTCGACAGCTAACGCTCTCCCATCAACTCTGCTTGCGCTCCTTGTTCTGGTGGAGTACCGGAGTCGATGGGAGAGCGCTCAGTGGTCGATTTATCGTGTCTATACTAGACGCGATAAATCAACCCCCGCTGGATCGATCACTGCCTGCTGATCCGGTGGGTAGTGTAGACAAGCCCTAAGGCTCCTGACTGCTGTCAGACACAGCCCTGGGGCAATGGAGTGTTTAAGAGAATATTTGCCAGGGCAAATCCCAAAAGCAAAAACTGCCTGTTGAAAGTGTTCCTCGGTCAGACTTTGCCTGGGCTCAGATTCAGCGAGTCCCAGCATGTCTCCAGCCTGGGCTGTCTCAGGTGCAGAGCTCTAACCCACCTGGCCAGGTCTCTGCATAGCAGAAGGCCAGGCTCTGGCCTCAGCGAAGTGTAAACAGGCAGGCACTTTTCCCTAGCTGTGCTACAGCCCTGGGAGAGCAGGCCAGGTGCATGCAGTCAAGGAAGCAGCCTAGAGAGAGAAGCACCTACTCCTGAGGGTGGGGTGAATGGGGCTTCCAGGGTCACAAGGCAGAGGAGGGCACAGTGGGCCCATTCTGACCTCCTGCATCACTGGAGGAGAGAGTTCCTTCCTATCAGCAAGGTGCAAGGGCCGTACACATCCCCTTGCTCATGGTAGGGTGGCAGGACAATCACTGAGGGAGAGAGGGATGTGTCTGGAATGACCCTACAGTCACATTGCTTTCAAAGTGGAGTGTCATGGACTGGATCGCCTACCTGGATTCCATTAGGGTAAACTTCTCCTTCCCCGATCGAGTCTACCAGATCTTCCTCATCCAGCGTCGCCCGCCTGTAGGTGGACATCTGAAACGTCAAATGGAGAACAGATTCCCTTAGCGTCTCCATGGCAAGGAACATTTAAAGGCACCAGCCAGCCAGACACTGCTTTGCAAACAGGGCAACTCAGACATCAGCTCAGCCCTTGGTGGCTGGATCCCCATCTCCTGTGATCTTTGCTCAGACTAAGAAGCTGGTGATTCCGGAGCCATCTGTCCAAGTGTTACCAGGTAAGTCTCTGAACAAGGTTAATCAGGGCAACCTCCCCTTTCTCCCTGGATCAGTTCCGCAGATCCTTCCCAGAGAGTCGAAGTGGAATGGCACCTGAGGGAGCGAGAGAGGCTTTGGCTGGGACATCTGCCCAGCCAGGTTGTAAGTCCTCCTTTGTGCTGAATCCAAGTGATTGAGATATAAAGTTACTGAACAATTTATAATCTGAAGAAACTCAAAAAAGGCACAAGAAAGTCAGCCCACCCACAGGCCAAACCAACCGCCCCCATGTCTCCTCTGAAGCCCTCCTCTGAGCCTTAAGTAAACTTTCTCTTTCAATGGGAAGAAAGACTCCTGTGCAGAGAGGGACTGCCTAGCTCAGCCTGGGAACATCAGACATGCACGTTTCAAAACACAGGATCAGGGAGCAAGTCAGAGAACAGGAAGTAAAATAAAGTCTGCCTGCGTTTGTAAAGCTGCATTCCACAGCAGGAGCCAACGGATTGTTCAAAACTTTCAGAGGCCAGCCTCCTTTTCTCATTGTTAGCTCCACCCTACCCCAACTCCATCTCTAACCTGCTGTGTCCCTCCTGCTTATCTAACACACCAGGGCTGCTCTCCAGAGAGGAGAGTGAGGGACAGGCAGAGGGGTTGGCCAGAGAAGCAGATGGTTCTCGCAGCCATCATCATCCAAATGATATATCAAGAAATAATCGTTTCTTTCACATGCTGGACCTTTCCATGTAGTCACACATGCTAAGTGTGCCATGCCAGTCTGGAGCTTGCACCTGTGCCTAGGATGACAAGATGTCCAGCTGGCTGGATTGTCTCAGCTTTGAGGGACCACCCCCAGGGGGGTCTGAAACTGGGGTAGTGCACTGGATTCCACTGAACCAGCCAGGAGGGGGTCCTTCCACTTCTGCCCAACTTCTCCAACTCCACCACCCCCCACCAGGCAAGGTCTGCAACTGTTGTCTTCCAAATCTAGCTGCTACCCAAGCAGCACCCAGTCCCCCAGCCAAGCCACCCCTGCCTTTGCCTCAAGCCTTCCTAAATGGAGTAAGCTGTGCCCTGGCTCCAGCTTTAGGGTCAAATCCCGGTACCCTTATGTTGGCTCCCCCATTTAAACTCTTGCCCCATGTGGTCCCCATCCATACCTCTATTTAGAGGCCTCCAGACTGCTGCAGTCTCTGAATGGTTCTAAATTGGCCCTGCCAAAATTAGCAATGTGTCCAGCCCCAAACCCTGGATCTGAGCATCTTCAGTATCTAGGTTTTACAGTTCAGTCTCTAGCCAGACGCAATGAGAGTGCTGCCTTTTGAGGGAACTGGAAATGCATCATGACTGAGGTCACAGCAGGCGAGTGGCAGGCAAGCCAGTAACTTATTACTGAATGGTTTTTGTGGGAAATCAGGATATGAACCACAGGGGACTAGGACAGGATCTCTTGTAAGGACACCACAAACTCAGCTCGGGTTTAGGAGCCTGGACAGGGATTCGTGGAAACTGAGTCCCTGTGAACAAGGTTCAGAGCAGTGGTTTCACTCTGAGAGGAGGCCATGCAAAACTCTGGAGTCCTGAGTGAGGTCTTTGGGTTTGTTCAGGCTCCAGGCACGACTGAGAGGCCTAAGTGCATGAACTGTGGGAGACAAAGAGCGCCTTATGCCTTCTTTGCATTCCTCCTACTTGGGCCTATCTGCAGGTCAGCATAGCCTCCAGCATATGTTAGAGCAGCCCTGAGGCTGCTCCAACTTAGCTCTGCTTCCCCAAGAACCAGATAATATTTGGAGCACCGTGTGTTCTGCCCATGCCTCCTTCTCACCCCTGGCCTGCCCCAAAGGTGCCCCTTATGCTAGAGCCTGGGACAAGGCAGATCTATGGCAGTGGGAGAGTCCCCTTGGAGGATGATTCCAACCCCTTTACTCCACCAGAGCCCTGTAACGAGGCCTTAGCAGGATAGAGAATCTGCCTTGGAGGGTGCAAGGAAAAAACCCAGCTCCCTCCAGAAGGCCCCAAGGCCATGAGCTGAAACCCCCACTGCCCCAAGCTATATTTCCATACAAGTCTAATTGAAAGTCTGATTCCCTCTACAGAATTCTTACCTCTTCCCCACAAGCAGATACTCAGGGTGAAGTCGCTCAGGCCCCAGAGAAGGGATGGGGAAGGGGAGAGCGTGCTCCACAGCAGCACAGGAAGCCTGAGTCTCCACTGCCCATACATGGGTATCCCATCTGCCTGGGCCAAAAGAGGGTGAAATGCTACCTTCCAATTTGTTAGGGTTTCACCTGCACTTTGGCCAGCTGTCTCCATGAGCTGTAAGGCAGAGGGCAATCAAATCACTGACTTCACCTCCTCCCTGCCCTCAACCCATGGCCCTGACAACACAAGCTGTGTTGGCACTAGACTGCCAAGTAGTGCTGCCAACAGTCTAATGGCACAAACCAAACCATCCTTGTCCCACCCCCTGCCCTGCCCCTTCCCCAGACACCCCACCCCCCGCTCACTCCATCTCCCCTCCCTCCATCACTCGCTCCCCCCCACTCTCACTCACTTTCACCAGGCTAGGGCAGGGGATTGGGGTGCAGGCTCTGGGAAGGAGTTGGGGTGCAGGAGAGGGTGAAGGGTCAGGCTCTGGGAAGGAGTTTGGGTGTGGGCTCTGGGTTGGGAGCAGGTGAGGGGTGCAGGCTCTGGCCAGGCAGCACTTACCTTGGGTGGATCCCGAAAGCAACTGGCACATCCCTCTGGCAGCAGCTCCTAGGGGGGTGGAGGGGGCAGGGGATCTCCGCATGCCGCTGCCTCTGCCCTCAAGCAATGCCCCTGCCTCTGCCCTCAAGCAATGCCCCTGCAGCGCCAATTGGCGGCAGTTCCCAGCCAACGGGAGCTGTGGAATCAGCACTTAGGGTGAGGCAGCACATAGAGACCCCCTGCCCCCCAGGGGCCACAGGGACATGTCAGCCGCTTCTGGAAGCGGCATGGAGCCAAGGCAGGTAGGGAGCCTGCCTTAGCCCCGCTGCACCGCTGGACTGTTAGCGCCTAAAATCTCCTAGTTTGGCTGTAGTAGCCTCCGGGAGATAGAGCATGATACCAGGAGAGTTGGCAACCCTACTGCCAAGCCAGCGCACTGTTCCACTTGCCTTGTGCTACAGCAATGCCACAAACACCCAAGCTCCAAGACTCTCCTCAGTCTGTAAAACCCTATTACCCTGAGTGCTGAGCAGCATTCTTGGCTGTGGAACTGAAATACATTTCCCCAGTGCAGGAAGGAATCACAGCCAATTGGACAAACAGTGGTACTGAGATACAGCTCCAGGACTAGCAGCTAAGGGGTTAACCAGAAAATTCTCATCTGACAACTATCTACTGGTCCTGTTTTGAGACACTTCTTCCTCCCTTTCCACATGTCCCACAAACACTCCTCTTCTATATTAAACAGAACATTCAAACACAACCCCTGCCACAGCTGACCTTGCTCATTCTTTCTAACAAGCAGCTGCTGCCACTTAGCCTCTTGAACTATCCTGCAGGATATTGCACCTGGGTTTTAATTCCTCAGTCAGGGACTGGTGCTCTCCCTACAGCAGTCTGCATTCAAAACACTGATAAACACAGGCCTCAGCAAGGCTGTGTACATTTATGAATTGGCTAACACCAATCTAGAGTAATATACTCCTACATTTCATCTGAGTGTCAGTTACAACTGTGAAGTTAATTGAATCCACCTCTCTGAAACCCTGTGAATGCTAGAATCAGGGTATAGGAGGGAAATGTTTAGAGATCAAAGGAAAACACAGCTGGAAATGAAGCTGGGGATATTCCAGGTTTCTGATTTATGATACAAGAATGTTTCAGGGCAAGCAGGCCAAACCCACCAAACAATCATAGGGACTGTGGGTGCTTGTTGCTGTCACAGATCCCAAGTCTGCAAGCTGGCCTGTGGGGGCTGACCCTTACGAAGCTCCAGTGAAGTCAAAAGGGGTCAGCCCTCAGCAGAGCTTGCAGGATTGGGGTCACAGAGGGAAAATCCTCAAGTAGCTGATTTGAATTTCAGAGTTGAATCAGAAGGCATCAGTTACATGCTCCTGACTCTTGAATACAGTTTTGCACCCTGTTTCAGTGTTCAAATACTGCCTCCAAAACAGAGTGAAATGATAACTTAGAACAAACAGTGTGTGATGGGGTGTGCCAGCCTTCTCTGCTCCCTGCTGGAGGCATTGCTGCCCTGACACACCCACCCAAAGGAGGAGAGTCACCTGGGAAAGAGGGGCGTTCAGTGATGTTAGACTTCCAAGCACCGCCTAGACAAGCCATGTCTACACTAGAAAGGCTACAGCAGCACAGCTGCAGTGCTGTAGTGTAGACACTTAATTACATTGCACAGGGTGTAACATTTATCACAGCACTGAGCGATGTAGCTAAGCTGACCTAACTGGATTGTGTAGATCAGCCCCCAGGCTCTGACCGGACAGAACCACAGCTTGATTGTCCAGCTGTTAGAAGGGTCAGGAGGAGGCAGTAGCCAGTCAGGGACCCCAGGCGAGCTAAGAAGGCTTGCCTCCTTCTTCAAAGGGGCAGAGCTGGGTAGGGTTGCCAACATTCTACTCGCACAAAACTGAACACCCTTGCCCTGCTCCTGCCCCTCCTCCGAGGGCCCAACCCTACTCCGAGGCCTCGCCACCACCCACTCCATCCCTCCCCCTGTTGCTTGCTCTCCCCACCCTCACTCGCTCGCTCATTGTACCAGGCTGGCTCAGGGGGCTCAGGTGCGGGAGGGGGTGAGGGCTCTGGCTGGGGCTGCGGGCTCTGGGGTGGGGCCAGGG